CTCTCCCGTTGAAAGATGTCTTCCCGTTGGGGAAAATTTTGCGAAGTACGACCCCTCCCTTGAAGTTCCGTCTTCTGGTACGACCCTCCCCCCTACTACCCTATCTCCCACTTTCTCCACTTTTCTTTTTTTTCCTAAAATTCGTCCACACTTTTTTCTCAAGAGACTGTCATTGAGGCCTAAAATTCTTCCACACCTTTTTCTCAAGAGACTGTCATTGAGGAAGAACGGGGTAAATAGCGCAAGTAAAATTGGCAAATCGAGAAAAATCAATAACCGAAAACGTTTTTATGAGAAACAAGTGTGATTACCCTCCCTTCAGCTACCAGATAGGAACCCTCCCCTTTATGGATCCCAGCGTGCGGCGCACTCTGTTCCTAAAGCTCAATGTCAAAAGAGCGCAGAAACTTAAGTCTGCGCGCAGTTTTGGCTTTGGGTGCAGAGGAGTATAGTCCATTACTTCGTTGCGCACTCGCCGAGTTTGCTTGCTTAGTGAATTCTGAATGTCTTGTATAGAAACAAGTGTTCCAGGGAATTCGCCGACCGTGGCGTGGAGTATGCATGGTTGGACCACCAGGCACTGGCAAGACGCTTTTAGCAAAAGCCGTAGCTACCGAATGCCAGACTACGTTCTTTGCTGTAAACTGCGGAGATCTTGCCAGTAAATGGCGTGGTGACTCGGAGAAAATGATCAAGCTTCTATTCGAAATGGTGAGTTACAGGCGCTGTACTCAAATAAAATTTGGTCTTTACGTATGTATTTTTGTTGATGGCAGTATTTAATTTTATCTTCAGGCTCGACATTTTGCACCGTCCACAATATTCATCGATGAGATCGATACCATCGGAAGTCAACGTGGACAAGCAAATGAGCATGAAGCTAGTCGACGGTGAATAACTTTAGAACATTTAGCGAATTGCAATGAGCCTTATGCATGCAAAGACGTCCTTTTCAATTCGTAAGTCTGATTTGAAGCTAGTTTAGTGCTGTGGCTGCCCCTGAGAAATCCCTAAGAGTCCTTTCACACATTGTGTCAGCATTTTGAGCGTTATGACGATTAGGAAAGTAATCTATCTAGCACTCCAAGCATGCCAGCATTTTGAGCGTTATCGTGGGTGGCTTTGAATTCTTGCGGGCAGTCGCTGAAAACGCTGGCGTACGCTCAAAACGCTTACGCAAAGTGTGACCGCAGCCTATCTGAAAACTTTGTGCGAGGTTCTGAGGAGAGTTTACTGCCTCGAAAATCTCAAACGAATTGCCTTTTAGGGTGAAGGCCCAGCTCCTTGTAGAAATGGATGGATTCTGCAAAGAAGAAGATGGAAAAAGAGTTCTAGTCTTGGCGGCGACGAATTTCCCGTGGATGTTGGGTAGGTTTTAGCATTCAGCTCAACGAGCTTTAACGATGTAGTCTCACGCAGTGGTTTCACAGCAGTGCGGTTGCCCACTTACAGTTGCGTTAACATGCGGGGGAGCCTAACCAGAGGTCTTTCCCATTTCCTAATTCGTGGGCCATTCCTTGGATTTATGTGCTGCAACGGTTATAAGTAACAAAATAAATGATTTTTCTGCGCTTAGCAAGGCTTGTTAACAAAATTTGCGAAACCAAATTGTTGTCAAAGATAATCACTGATAATAAAAATTAATTAACCATGTTGAGAATCGAAACAATGAGAAATATTGACAGGCGTCGAAACCAATGTGGTGAACTTCCGTTTCGCTCGTGCCCTTGGGCGGAAACCGAACGAAAGCATAGTCCTTCCTCTGTGCTCATCAGTAATGGAAGGGAAGAACATCGAATTCGATGAATTTTATAAGAAACAGCGAGCCAAAACTGGCTGTCTCCTTGTCCAGCAAGGCCCTTTCGCCAACTGGGTCGAGCAAACTATGCTCGATCGACATTGCTCCTTTCTCCGCTTCGATTTTTTATATAGGCTGCTGAACGAAAAAAGGTGGGGCTATAAAGATATAAGTCTGACCGTTGACTCTATTGTAATACTGAGTCTGCATAGTTGGAACTTCATCAAAGTGTATCCCGTATTCTGTAAAATAGTTTAGGAGCTGAAGTATACTTCTGAATTTCTTTTTTAGTAGATCCCGAAAGAGCACTTTTTCCTTGTTTTCCACTGTTTAATACCCGATCAATGCTTGTTTTAGATGAAGCTCTACGCCGTAGGTTTGAACAAAGGATTTACATTCCGCTTCCCGACAAACCAGCACGAAAATCGCTCCTGTGTTCGTCTCTAAAGGAGGTTCGCTTTGCTTGGTGTGCAATATTGTCATTTTTGCGTAAAACTTGTTTGCGGAGGTGGTGGAAGGGAAGAAATGACTCTGTTGCAACAGCTTTGTCTTATCGGCCATGACTGGTGCCGTGCAGTCGTACATGTCTTTCTTCATCCCGGAGTCGCTTGATTGGTGCGAGATTTGTGTAGAAAAATCGAGAGCACAGGTTATCCAGGTCGGCATGTTAGTGTAGGAAAAGGTACTTTACATACGGCATAAGGATGAGAGGGGGCCCTGGTGTCACAGCGATTAGCGCCCGCCTGGAAGGCATGATGGTGCGAGGTTGAGTTCCGTTTGCGATCAAGTTTTTATCCATGACTCAGCGTTCCTAAGATACTTCACAAATGCCCAGGTTTCCGAAAAGGGCGAAGCTGGAGCTAGCTAACCGAGTTCTACCTTTTGTTCGCCACCACCAGTCTGGGGTGAAGCCAAACACCCACACAAATGTGACTGCCGTAGTTAGTGATGAGTAAAGTGGTCAACGCCCTGTGATTCACCATTTCGCGATGAAGCAACAGTGCAACAGAGGGAAAACTATCATGACTGTGTGAGCTGCTATATTTCTATACACCCATCTGGGATGATGCACGCATTCAAATTCTTTTCAAGATCATAGTGGGTTTAAATGCGGATTGAACTGAGGGCTACACATGGGCTTTACTGTGGGCATCCGGGCTTAGAACTTTTCAAGGTTTGTGTGGCTAGACCAGTAGCCGATCCGGTTCTCAGCCTTTCAATGACTTTGTACTCTATGTCATTTTTCTCACGTGATAAAGAAAAGCAAGGCAGTGATTATGGATATCTTCCTCTTTAGAATCACTAAAAATCGAGATCAAATTATCGCATTGATGGTCCATGTTTTGTGTTACCCTTCTTCCAGAAGGGAATTTTTGACGCGTGCAGTGGTCTATGTAGATCTTATAACACTCAAGTTTTTGAGTAAATCTGAGCAGTTTAGGTTCGTATAGCGGACGATGTTGACCTCGACTCATTCGCCGAACAGCTCGATGGATACTCTGGAGCTGACATAACTAATGTTTGCAGAAAGGCAGCGTTAATGGGCGTGAAAAGGTAACTTGGCTGTTTTATGATCATCCTTGTTTTGGGTATGGCTCAGTCTAAAATCTCTAGGACTAGTATAGGAGATGTTACTCTACTGGGTTAAGCAGATTTCAGTGGCAGCTTTAGATGTTTGCGAATGTTCTGTTATATTTACGCGTCATAAGTATGATCCTGCGTTCAGATTAACTCGTATGATGTCACCAGCTGAGATAGCCAAATTATCTAGAGAAGAAGTGGATCTTCCTATTACATGGCAGGATCTTCAAGAGGCCTTTAGCGATACGAATCCGTCCGTGTCCGAGGTATGTATAGCTTCGAATGTTTCGGAGAGTAGACAGCGGGGGGGGGGGGCAAAAAAAGTCACTTCGACCGAGTCACATATCAGCAAAGTTTTCGCAGCCCAGACAGAGGACGTGGATACGAGTACCAGGGCGGAAGATACCCAAGATGTTCCTCGATAAGCAGGAGCTGGCTCTCGCCCATCACCTTCATGTACACCAAAAAGA